CTGGGCGCCACATATAAATAAATCCCGCATTTCCCGTCACGACCTGTCGCCATCGCCAGTGGCAACGCTCTCTGAGCTCCAGAGTCTGTACCACACGCTCGTGGGAATCCGATCCCGAGTCCACGAGGAGGCTTTCTTGAGTACCTCAGGAAAGCAAGCAGCCGCATCCATTACCCGCCTTCTGGTGGTAACCGGCAGTGACGGATAGAACGTCGATGCTGCTACTTCTTGAAGATAAATTTCCATAACCTTTGCCGACACCCAGCGGCCTCGTCTGCGTACCAGCTCTGCGTCCTCCGTGGCCTGGAGGACGAAGGTAGCCCCCCCCGGCCTAAAAGACCCGAGGTCTAATGGCCGGGAGCAGGACCGTGTGGTAGGTACTTGTAGGGCTTCCAGCGCGCTGTCCAGTCTCTTACGTAGCGTCTGGGCAGAAAGAGGCCAGAGCTTGCTGTAGGCCGGCAGGTGAGCAAAGGCCAGATCTATCAGCTGAACAAGGTCCTGGGCCTCGACCTTTGCAGCTTGATGCCTGGCGGTACGCAGGCGAGTTTTCGGCTCGTCTATCTTCAAGAGAATAAAGGCTTGGCTCCACAGGGTATCCCTCGGCAGCACCAGCGAGGACCTAACCGCTCCGGTTGCCTCGCCGATTCGAAGAAGGGCACCCCATGCCAAAGCGAATATCCCTGCTTCAGCTCGCCACCCCCAGGTAAGGCAAACCGATAAGAGCGCCAGCAGGATCACAGCTGGCATCGCCACGTGGTGGGTGTAGGGCTCCAAAGCGAGCCAACTGAAGGCCAAATCCCAGGCGCCCTGCAGAGTGCGGCGGACAGCCGGGCGGCGCGCGCTGATGGCATTGATTGTTTCAGCGTAGTGCCAGTAAGGCCGGCCTGCCTCGAAGAGTTCCCTGCCGAACTGCTCCAAAGTCTTGGCTAGGGTCTCAGCGGGCCACTGCATGAAAGCTTCGCGCTCAAACCCATTCTCCCCAAGCCAGTCGCTGAAACGGTCCAGGAGGGAGGCACGGTTAAGCTTCGTCCTAGGGAGAACCGGGCGGCCTTCCGGCAAACCTAGGGGGCCACGTGCCTGCTTTCGCTGCTCGTCCTGGAGGTTCCTCGGTCCGATGGGCCCTTCTCCCGGAAAGCCCAAGCACGCGTCGAAGTCCTTGAGCGGGGCTCGCTGGGGGTCGAGGCTCGGGACTAGACCTAAAGGCTTGGGCATTAGGGGGCGGCGTGGCTCCTGAAGGGCACTAAGGAAGGGGCCTAAACCTAACCGAGGGTCCTTACGGGCGAGGAGGAGAGACAGGCGAAGCCAGCCTGCCGAAGCCCGGCAAAGTTGCAGAGCTCTTCGACGACGTCGGGGTCCTGGTCACAGACTAGGCTAGAGCCCCCTGGCAGCCTCAGCTCTGCGTCCCTAGTCGGGTCGTCGGCTACGTTGAGCCTGGTCGGTGCGTGGTGCAGGCCGAGGTGAACCCCTCCAGCTATGGCAACCGCGCCGGTTCTCAGGAGAATAGGCCGGAGGGCCTTCGAGGGCGACCTCCCCTTCCCAATGGCCCCTCTGGCGACTGAGGAGTCAAGGAGAAGGGAGACCTTTGAGTCTCCCTCGGCGGCCGCGGCATGAGAAACAACACGTTGGGCGGCCTTTGCCTCTCTGCAGTTTATGTGCTCGTTTCGCCTCCACCTCCAGCAGGCCTCGGTCTTCCAGGGGGCCGTGAGCAACAGGTCGTTGACAGCCAGGTTTTCAAGACCTCGCTTGTGGTCTGGCTCGGCCGGTCGCGGCTCAGAGATTGCCCCAGCGAAGGCCTTGGCAAGGAGGCCGGCGAAGCCCTCCCGGCAGACGGTTTCACCAGCGGGCTTGTCTCCAAACCCAAACTGCAGGCCCCGGCTGAGGACCCTCATCTTCGCAGTCCCTGGAGGGCCGGCTGCGAGAACAGCCTCAGAGACCTGTAGACCTGCTGCACACCTCTCCCAGGAAGGAAGGAAACGAAAGAAGGAGCTGGAGGGAACCCACAGTGCAACGGGGACCTCGTGCCTCAGAGCAGCCCGAAGGAGACACAGGTGAGCAAGAGCGAGCTTGTTGCCTTCTCTGGTGCGAGGCTCGGTTGCGTCGAAACCCTCCGGGCAAGCAGCAGAGCGGAGGGGAGGCCTGAGGCAGGGGCTAAAAGAGGCCGTGGGGGGCCCGAGAGCAAGGCTGCCCAACCTTTTCTCGGAGAGCAAGAAGAGGATCCACTCCAGTAGCCGGGGGGCTGTATGGCGGAAGTGTCTCGACCGAGTGGGGTCGATGACAGGCCCGGCGTAAAACCCAAGCCGGCCGAGGTTCTCAGACAAAGCCCCCTGCGACACGCTTACCTCCCAGGCGCAGACACCTCCCGCCCCTTCCCTTCGGAGAGCCTAACCGCGTGCCCTTTTGACTCAGAAGCGAGCCAAATTCGTAACGACTCTTCGTGGCCCAGGGGCGCTGAGCAGAAAGCGCCCTTTGTGTTCGAAGCGTCTGAGGCGTAGACTCGAGGGGAAGGGGCTGCAGAAAGATTTGTCAGGATGACCGGGGCGAGGACGGAGAGGAGCTGAAGTTCGCCCGCGACCCTCCGGGAAAGAGGGCGGAGGGCACTGCCAGGTGAGCTCGGGGCCTCCGATCTGCCTAAGGAGAAAAGTCCATCAAGAGCCGACATAAGACACCGCCTGTACATGAGGGCCGACACCCAGGAGCCGGTGAGGCAAGAAACAAGCTCCTCAGAGATGCAGGGGCACTCGGCAGCACGGACCGAGGCAGCAGCTAAAGACAGCCTCTTTTGAGTGGGGAAGCCGAGGTAGGTGGCACCTGACAGGACAGTCTCGGCACAAGATTCTATCTCAGCCCCAGCAACCTTCAGGACCCTTTGAGACAAAACGTCTTTGCTAGGAGAGCCTGCAACCTCCTCCGATTCATAGGCAAGTTTGGCGAGGCTAAGGGCATCGAGGGAGGAGGAAGGCGAGCCTGGCACGAAGTCCCCGGCCTCGACGCTCAAACAAAAGAAGTCGTCGATTATCAAGCCTTGCCAAGGCCCACCCGCCGAGACAGGATGGCGAGAACGAAGGCGGCGAGCAGGAGGGAGGCACCCCCACCTTTCAAGCAGACCTTGGTGCCCCCCTGTTGCGTATTCGACCCCTCCCGCGTCCCCCTGCAGTAAAGACCGGAAGGTCGGGTGCACAATGGTCTCGGAACCAACGAGAAGCGAAGCCCGGGAAGGAGGAAGGCAGGAGGCCCGAGCGCGAAGTCCAGCACTCCATCCTGACGCAAGCAAAGCCTGGCCAGCGACAGTGTCCAGAAGGCTCCTCAAGGGCAGCGCCGGCCCGACGGCGTTGGTCCACGACCTCTCTTCGGATATCATGGCCTGTGTGTAAAAGTCCCGCCGGTCCGTCACGGAACCGACCAAGCTGCAACCAGCAGGCACGTGGACACGGCAAAGCAGCGGGCCCGACGGCAGGAACCTCGAAGGGCCGCACAAGTGAGCCTCGGAGGCGTTCTGGCCCCTTCGGTCGCCGATTTGGCGGAGCTTGCCGGGAGCTTTGTAGGCTCCGAAAAGACGCGTGAGCTGCTTGTCTGGCAGAGGACCCGGCACAAACCCGAGAAGGGAAGAGGCGTCCCAAAGCTTGCAAATCCCAATTAGGTGATCCGGCTTCTCCTTCGCGAAGGTGGGGTGAGGGGCCTCAAGCCCGGCAAAATGCAAGACCTGGGGCTCGACGAAAGGCATGTAAAGATCAGGGCCGAGATGGGCGGCGAGGTCCCGTGGTCGGCATGGGGCAGAAAAGGCGCCTCCTCAGGCAAGGCACCGTCGCCAGGATAGGCGCCAGGAGTCAAGCCACAGCGCTCAACAAAAGACACAACCTCCGAAAGCCTGGCAGCAAGGTGGAGGCCGCGGCGTCCGGAACAGGCGGGCACTAGACCAGCCCGACGGGCACACGCTCGAACAAGCGACTCGATCCGACGATAGGCCTTGGCCTGGGCCGGGTTGAGAGGCCTCTGCAGAGAACGCAAGGGAACATGCTTGCAGCCGGCGTGCATGTAATTCAAAGACATGGCAACCAGGTGCACGCACCGCCGAACGGCCAAAGCCCGGCGGTCAGACGCGTTTCGGCAGGACCGCTGGTGGAAGACCCCCTCGTGAAGGAGAGGCAGCGGATAAAGAGCGGCTGAGGGGTCGGGTGAGGTCCCCTTTCGCAGATTCAAAGTCGAAACAAGAAACCCGGACAGCTGGGTCTTCCCACGCTTGAGAAGGCGGGGCAGAGCGGCGATCCAGGATTCAAAGGTGAACTCGCCCTCTTCTCTGAGGCTGCTGCCTTGCAGGGGGAAAACATCTCCGGAGGCATTGCTCGCGCAGGGAACATCTCTGAAACAGCAGGTAACTCAAAGGCCGGCCGGGCCGGCGGCGAAGGGGAGTCCAGAGAGGCTCCGAAGGTAGAGGTAGTCCAAAGTCCAGGGGCACCAGCCGAGGAAGACCGCCTTCCCGACCTTGCAAAGGAAGAGGTGGCGTGGCTGGTAGAAAGTCGGGATGTTGAAACCCGCCCGGACACGAAAAGCTTTGACGAAGTCACTTCTTTGGGGCGGTTTCGGCTGCTGCCTTTCGGGCGGCCCAAGCGGCTGCCCTCTGCTGCTTCTTTGTGAGGTCCCCCGGGCCGGGCGGTGCAGGAGGCGGAGGTGCTGGCTTCGAGGGGGTCTTTGGGACCCCGGGCCCCTTTGCTTGTGCCTCGGAGCGGCGCACACTTATGGTATCCAGCTCCTTTGCGTAAGCCAGCGCTGTTGTCACCCACTTTTGCTCGGCAAGCGCTGAAAACACCGGCAGCTGAGCTCCCGGGACCGAGGCAGGCACCTGAAACAAGCTTTGTGGCGGCTCCGCTTGCAAGGTTAGGAGCCAAGATAGGGAGCTGTTGCCCCCATCCAAAGCCGTCTGCTCCATCATGAGCAAGATCAAGGAGAGAGTGTCCCGGGCGCCGGCCTCCGACCCAGCGGCCAGGAGGTCGAGAGCCTGGGCAGTCTGCCAAGCCAGAAGCCCCAGCAGAGGCTGAGCCGAGAAGGCCCCGTGCCTCTCCAGGTACCTCATGAATGAAATCTGCTCCTCGGCCATCAGGTGAGTGGGGTCCATACGCCGACCCATGTTCGCCCGGATCTTGTCGGCGAACGCCCCGGATCGGCTCGCCAGCTCCTCCTGGAGCCTCGCCCGGTTGGCTGCCCCTTTTACACTGGCGGTTTGCCCCGTGGCACGGCCGACGTGAGGCTGCTTTCCCCTGGAAGCTCGCCCCTGGCTAGGGCACCAGCTGCCGTCTCTTCCAAGTCCACTTGAGCAGGAGCCGCGGGAGGCTGAGCACGGGTAGGAGGTGGAGGGCCGATGGCTTGTGCCAAAACGCGAGGGGCAGCTGAGGCCTGGGGAGGACTGACGCCAAAGGCTTTTGCAGGATCGCGGTGTTCACTGCGGCAGGAGGGGCTGATGCAGTCGGCCCAGGGGGCCCGGGAGCCGGGGACACTGGGGCCTGCAAACCGTCGAGACGCTCCACAACTGAAGTCATAAGCTGCATCATCTGAGCTTGCTGGGCGGCCAGCTGTTGCACCGTAGGCCTCTTCGGCTTCGGAGGCTTGGGCCGTGGTGCGGGAGCTTCGGTGGCAGAGGCTGCGGTGTGGTAACCAGACCTGTCCTCGGGCAGATTTCCCGTTCCCAGCAGCCACTCCTTGGACTGCTTCAGCACCTCGGAGGCCAGGGGAAAGAGCATCGGCTCCCTCTGACGAAAGCACACAAGTTCCTCCGCAGACAGGTCTGCTGGAGCCAGCTGCTCGGCCATGTGATCGGCCATGTCCACCACCAAGGCCGAGAGACGCTCCTGGTCCTGGGCCGCGATCCAGTTCCCCTCGGACGTGAGCAAAACAGGGAGGCTGACACCATGGTAGAGGGGCCGATTCCAGAGTCCTCGGCGGGCTGCTGTCCAAGGTCCCTCTCCTCCTGACTCAAGAAGCCCTCCGGAATACATAGCAAGAAGCCAGTAGGCCGTTTCATAATAACATAGGCAGAGCATAGCGAAGGGGCCTGGTCTTCGGCGGCCGGCGGCCATGAAAACTCCAAAACCTCAAGAGGACCCGACTCGTAAGCCACCAGCTGGGCAAAGTCCATCACCTAAGCAGGGAGGCCGGGTAAGGAAGGGCCGCAGCGGCAAAGTACACTCTGCACTCCGAGGTGGAAGGGGAAGCCGTGGGTGACCGAGCGGCCCAAGACGGGGCCGACGACACGCCTGAAGGCAGACAGCGAACCACAGACAACCGGAGAAGGCAGGCCCTCGGCGCGCAGCACGCAGTCGTAACGAGAGCTTACGTCCAAGGGCTCCGACGGGTCAGGCTTGTCCACCTGACCGTCCAGAACAGCTCGGGCCCAGCAGCCGGCGAGCCACGCACGATTGGCACGCTGTTGGGGGGTAAGGCTCCCCACGGACAACTGGCGGCAAGAGTCCACGAGGTAGTCAGGCAGCGAAGGGAAAGCCAAAGTGATAGCCTGCCTCCTGCTAAACCTGGAGCTCTGCGAGCTGGGCAAGGGGTACTCAGGCACGGCTGGAGCCGAGGAAGCGGATTGCACAGGAGATGAGGCTTTGGGCACAGGCAGGGCTTCAGTGGCAAGCGTCCTACCGTCGACAGGCGCACGGGAGCTTAGGGGTAGGGAGGCCGACCCGGAAGGCTGGTCGTCCTGTTGCACACGGGCCGAGGACCTAGGGCTTACAACCACAAAACCCGAAAGGGAGGGGGAGGAACTCCTATCAGCCGGCTCGGCTCGCCCTGGCGCCAACCTTAAGCCCCTAAGCCTGAGGGAGAGCCCTTCGATCTCGAGCGAGAGATCCCACTGATCACTCTCACTCATGCAAATAGGCCCTGAGTCTGGCCTGTCGCCGGGCGGCCGGCACAAAGGCAGGAGCTGCCACAGCCGGCTCCTCAGCAAGCGGGGCCCCAAACAGAAATTTTGCAGCAACCCAAATACCAAAGCCAGTGCCCAATATAGCTCCGCTAACGAAGCTGGCCAATACTGTACCCAGCCCTGGCGGAGTACAATAAAACGGGCACGCCAGGCCCCAAAGGTTCGTCGAAGCGCCCTGGTGCAGGACCTGAAGAAACCCCAGCAGATGCGAGATCATCCGAGGGGCCTACCTTGAGAGCTTGAGAAGCATACATTTCGGCATTCGCTTCTAAGTGTCAAGGGATATTGCTCCTCTCTGCCAAGAAGATGTCAAGGGACTATAGGGGAGACCCTTAAAGGGACCCCTGGGGTTCTATAAGGGCTTTATGAGACTATATTAGAGGTATGTAAGGGTTATATACCAAGAAGATGTGGGTTTCGGAACAGTAGGGTTTAGGGATTAGGGTTTAGGTTTAGTATTTAGGGGAAGATGTGGGCATCGGAACATTAGGGTTTTAGGGATTAGGGTTTAGGTTTAGGGGAAGATGTGGGTAGTTCTCTAAAGTAGGGTTTCTTTTGGGGTCTTTTTCATGAGGGTGCCGTACTTTTTTGGGGGCCCTACAAACGGACCCGAATTTAAAGAGCTAACCATGTGGGTTTCGGAACACTGGAGTTTTAGGGATCAGGATTTGCAGTAGGTTTGGGGCTTTTAAGATTTCGGGATCCCTAAACCTATAAATTTCCAGTGCAGAGGC